GACTCCTGTACGTGTACACGGCTCCCCGCGCAGACTCCTGTACGTGTACACGGCCCCCCCGCGCAGACTCCTGTACGTGTGCACGTGCTTCCCGCGCAGACTCCTGTACGTGTGCACGGCTCCCTGTGCAGACTCCTGTACGTGCTCCCTGTGCAGACTCCTGTACATGTAGGAGTCTGTTTAAATCTGTGGCGCTCTGACTATGGTAGATGGGCGTGACCAAGACGGCGCACTGGCAGCACCTGTGTGTGTATGTAGACACTGTGTTCCCTGTTCCAGGCTGCATGAAGAGGAGAAAACTGGGACGAGGATCTGCCAAAAGCTCAAGCAGTCCAGCCTGCCCTCTCCGCCTGAGGAGCCCCCTAGTCCAAGTTCAACCGCTGTGGAGAAAATGTTTGGAGGCAAGATCGTGAGTCGGATATGCTGTCTCTGCTGCCTCAATGTCTCCTCCCGGGAGGAGGCCTTCACGGACCTCTCTCTTGCCTTTCCTCCGCCTGAGCGCTGTCGCCGCCGTCGTGTGGGCTCTGTGATGCTCCCTGCAGAGGACATCAGAATCCGGGAGCTCCCACCAGTAGCCCAAGCCAAGGTCCCAAGCCCAAGAGTGGGTTCCCAGAGGCAAAGGAAACACTGTATCACAGGGGACACACCCACTATCGTCCTGGACATTGAAGGCCTGGACTCCAAGGGAGCTGAGGGGGAGAGCAGTCGGGTGGAGGAGGAGGAGAGAGCAGAGGAGGACAAGAAAGAAGTGGAAAAAGAGGAGGAGGAGGAGAAGGAACGGACCCCAGAGGAGGAAGAGGAGAAAGAAAAAGAGGTGGAAGGGGAGGGGGAGAAGGAGAAGGAGACTGAGAAGGAGAAGGAGGAGGACAGCCTGAGCTTGGGGACCCCTCGGGATGCTGCCGTCCCCTCTGAGAGGGAGCAGACGAGTGGCCCTGAGGGCTCCCGCTCTGTCCTGGACCTGGTCAACTACTTCCTGTCTCCCGAGCGGCTGACAGCAGAGAACCGCTACTACTGCGAGTCCTGTGCCTCCCTGCAGGACGCGGAGAAGGTGGTGGAGCTCAGCCAGGGGCCGCGCTACCTCATCCTGACGCTGCTGCGCTTCTCCTTCGACCTGCGGACCATGCGGCGCCGCAAGATCCTGGACGACGTCGCCATCCCCCTGCTGCTCCGCCTGCCGCTGGCTGGAGGCCGGGGCCAGGCCTATGACCTCTGCAGTGTCGTGGTGCACTCCGGAGTGTCCTCAGAGAGCGGACACTACTACTGCTATGCCCGGGAGGGCGCTGCCCGCCCCGCCCCTTCTCTGGGAACTGCTGACAGGCCGGAGCCCGAGAACCAGTGGTACTTGTTCAACGACACTCGGGTATCCTTCTCCTCCTTCGAGTCCGTCAGCAACGTCACCTCCTTCTTCCCCAAGGACACAGCCTATGTGCTTTTTTACCGACAGCGGCCTGAGGAGGGGTCCGAGGCAGAGCTGGGCTCTCCCAGAGTCCGGGCAGAGCCCACACTTTACAAGGACTTGATGGAAGCCATCTCTAAAGACAACATCCTCTACCTGCAGGTGAGCAGACCCATTGAGGCTTTTGCCTGTCTTCTGGCTGGAGGGGGTCTGGTCCTTGTGCAGCCACTAGCTTAGACGAGTTCTTTGGCTTCTCCTTGAGTCTTTTTTATCCGATAACTTAGTGCTGGGACTGTACTTCATAGGAACAGACACTGAGTAACTGCATAGTCATTAAGTAAGTAGGCTGAAGAGCAGCACGAGGCTCTCCTGAGTGGACAGAGGGTGCTTCTGGGGGATGCTGCCCTTTCGACCTACTTAACTGCCTGTGACGCCACTCTTTAGTCAAGGGTGGCATCAAAATATTTAACTACTGGAACCATAAGCATTCTGACCGGTGGAATGCGTACTAGCTGTAGACTATCTGGAACCTGGGGGTGGTGGTAGTGCAGAGGAGGTGGCGCCTAGGGTGAGGACATCAGGCCTGTTGTTTATGTTCCTGCCAGGCTGTCGAGGTGGTGAGCAGTGTCTGTGAGACTGACCTCCCTTTAGCAGGAGAACGAGCTTTCTTACAGGTGGAGTCCATTCCTCATGCCTTGAGAGGTAGTGGTCTGCACAGTTGAGGTTAGGAAGCCTGCAGACAGGCTGTGTGTGGTGTGACGAAACTCGGGAAGTCTCCGGACCTCCTGCTTCCTGGTCACTTCAGGCCCTTGTCAGCTAGTCTAGTATGAATGAGCACCTTTCCTCCAAGGGACTATTTTTTACTGAGAGGAGGAGAGATTTTCAAAGACTAGACACAGGATGTAAGGATGGGTCCACTTCCCATTCCTGCAACTGAGCTGGAACAAGGGCAAAAGCTGTTGCTCCTGGTCCTGGGGACTCAGAGGTAACACTCAGAAGTGTTACGCCACGTGGTGTTGGGAGAGGGAGTGAGGGGGAGAACTCTGGCTTCAGGGTTTGAATTTCAAGCTTCCTCCTCTGCCCCCCTCTGTGTTCCCAGGAGCAGGAGAAGGAGGCACGGAGCAGGGCAGCCTACATCTCTGCACTCCCTGCATCTCCGCACTGGGGGAGGGGCTTTGATGAAGACAAGGATGAGGACGAAGGCTCTCCAGGGGGTTGCAACCCTGCAGGTGGCAATGGTGGTGACTTCCACAGACTGGTCTTCTAATGTGAACCTGTTCCCACCCTGCTCCCACCTGTGGGACACCACAGCCAAACTTGGGGGGCCATGACCTCTCCTGGGAGCCAGGTGGGAAGCCCAGATTCCAGGCAGCATAGCTCTGCCAGGTAGGGGTCTGAGGGAGGCTCTTCCCTGGGTGAGGAGGGAGAGCAAGCTTCGGGGACACCAGATCTCAGCCTGGAGGGTATACAGAGACTCAGATGTGGAGATGACACTCAAGACCCCTGAATTGGGCCTTGGGCCCTGTCACTGGGATCAGTCCCATTACTATTTTACACCCAAGTGTCCTGATTAACTTGAAGCAACTTGGGCACACTCTAGGCTTTGCCTCCACCCTCTCCCCTGCAGGCTTCTTTATTGGAACATCATCTGATTAGGTGTGGGACCCTAGTTCTGAGATTTTGCCTTTAAGTAGCAGTCCCCTTCCAGCACCATTCATGTAAGTCCTGCTCTATAGTATAAAAAGCACAGCCGGATCCAAGTCCTTGCACAAAGGGGGTTATGTGTCACCCCCCCTACCCCCCATGCTCTTGTTTCTCCAAAGGGGATGTATGGGATTCCTGTGCTGTCTGTACTGCTGTGAGGAGTAGGTGGGAAGCAGCACGGCACAGGATCAGAGTCAGCATCTCCTCTGGTCTGAGTTCGTCTTTGCCTGTCTCCCTCCCCTGCACCAAGCAAGGCTGTAGGGAGAGGGAGCCTCCTTACCTCGACAGCCTCTCCTCCCTAGCCTGCCTCAGTGCCTGAGATGCCACCATTAGCATCCCCCTTCTGGTTAAGGTAGAGTCCTTTATGCAGAGACTGAAGCCGTCGTCTCCTGAGGAAGCTGGCTGGCTGGCTCCTCTAATTAGCTGGCCATGATGGCTGTGAGAGTGGCTGCCTGGAAACACAGATGTTGACCTCATTGTGCCCTCACACTGCTATATAGCCCCTCCAAATGGAGCAGAGACCCATTTCTCTAACAAATAAAACTAGTTCTCTGAAGCCTTTTAAAGATGTTTGTTCTTCCCCCTTCAGTGGCTGTGATGTCTGATGTATCCTTGGTTTTCTTACTGGGCCTGGGCAGTGTGGCAATGACGTAGGCTCTTTGAGGGTACACCCCTGCCCCCTCTACCCCTGTGCCTTTTAAGCCCTCTCTGCTGAAGGGTCAGGAGTGGGCGATCCCAGAGGGCAGAGGTGGGCACCACCTTCCATGGCTCCAGAGCCCACCCAGTCCTTGGAGGCATAGAATCAGGGACCAAGTCACTCGCAGAACCCAGCTCTAGACACTTTCCTTGATGTGCCTTCTAAAATGAACTGGCAAATGCTTGTGCAATTTCCATTTTACAGATTGGAAAACAATCTGAGGTAAAGAGCGTTCATTCTTGTCTGCTGTCAAGAAATCGCATCAACTTTCCTGGGATCATTTGAGAAATGATTTTCTTGTAGAGAACATGCATCCAAGCCTACACCTGGCAGCCGCTGGTCCTCGGCTTGCCCCACCGCCCAGCCCCCTTAGACGAGATGGACTCCAGCAGGCGGCTCCAGGTGCATTTCTAATGGACTTTATTGTTGTCCTACTCCAATACCACAGTAAAAAGGGACCTGCAAGCTCCAGGCCTGTACCATGTGTCACCACAGCAAAAACATGACCCACCCCCACCCCCAGACCTACCAACAGGATAAATATGTTACAACTTTTTTTAAAAAAAGAAAACAGAATAAATTAATAACTTAAGTGATTAGGCACCAACAGTGATTTGAAAAATTAAATGTCAATTAAGAATGATAACAAGACAACTTAAGACTGGGCTTTTTCTAGCCCATTTTCTCCTCCTGACAACTAGCAACAATTCTGTATGAAATGATTCTAAATTTCAAGACACAAGTAGCCAACAACTACACAAGGACACACACCACCAGATATCACACAACAGCCTGAATCTCCAGTGGACCTCCCCAGTAAGCAGCCCACCATGGTCCCGGGCCCCAGAGAACTTCATAAGTCCCAGAAAGATAGCCCTGCCCTCAAAGGCCTTTGAAGCTCAGCCTTGCTTTCCCACATTTTACAGATCAAGGGCCACTAATTTCCCTCTTATCCTGTACTCTTCCAGAGCTGTCATAGGAGGGTGGGGGCTGAGACTAGCTCTGGAACAGGTAAAGGGGCCAAAGGGCAGACAAGTTGAGCTCATAGACCAACAGCTTCAGAATCGTTGTGCTTTTGTCCTAGGAATGGGGCACATTTTAATGGCTTTAAATGTGTTAAGTTACCAAAATCAAGCAGGGGAGGCGGGGTGGGGGTGGGGGAGACTGCGGATTCGTGCTGGCTATCCTCATGCTTCAGACCCTCAAGATAGAAGGTATAGCAAGGAGTTCCCCTTAAAGCAGCTGAGCATCAGCTATGGAAAGGACCACAGATCATCTAATCCAACCACCCATTTCACAGATGGGCAAGTCAAGGACTTAGGAAGACACCATCTCCCTCTTTTCTTGTTTCCACTCAACTTTCAGAGGCAGAGCTGGGAGTAGGTGAGGAGGCTCCTCTGGAGAACCCCAGGCAGGACAAGTCCTTGTGTGAGCTATGCTGGGTAAGAAGCCATCCTCATTCTGGGGTCTCAGTCCTTGCTAGGCCACCATGCACTTTGACCCATGAATTACCAGTTTTTAACTGAGTTGACTTTTTCTTTGGGCTTGTAAGCCAGACCTCTGCTTTCAAAAGTCCAATTTCTTCTTTTCTTGTCCTTCCTTCCATCTCTACCCTTTTCTTTGAAGATTACATTAGAGCACCTCCATCTCTGAAGACTCCAACCAATTTCGTTCACATCATGGCATGCTCAGAGCTTGTTAACATTCTTATGGGAGGCTACTGGGGCTATAAACTGAGGGCAACTATGCCTGGGCCCACTTGTAGCCTGCTGTGGGCACAGGGGAGGCACCAATTAAAAGCTCTGCCATCTTTGACCCCTTGTAGAAGACATTAAAGGGACATGTCAGGGCTGGACAGAGTGAACCAATGCCCTGCAAACCCTGCTCCATGTCACCACAGTCACCACTAACATTTCACCTGCTGGAACACAGAGACATGGCCCCAGCACTTCTGCGTGGACTCAGTCCCCCAAATCATTTGTTCTCTGAACAAGGCTTTCCAAGACTCTTCCTTCTTCCATCACTGGACCCAGGCCTTTCCTTCCTTACCTCTAAAATTCTGACCTATGCAACTCTAAGCTATCTCAGGTGCCCCCTTTTTCTAGAATCCACATTCCCTGATCTCTACCTCACTTCTGCCTCCGGCATCAACCTTCCTGAGTAGTAAGTAGTCTTTACTTCCTCCATACTCCATCAGCATCTTATGTCTCTTTCTCTTATGGCTATCACTGTTTTCCTGTGTCCTTTTTCTCACTAACAGTGACTGTCTCAAGTTCAAGGTCAAAGTCGTATCTTTGGTACCTAAGCCCAGGGTCTGGCTACAGCAGCCATTAATAAATGCTGCTTCAGTTGATTGGAATTAAAGCTAGGAGGGGAGCTTCCGTACAGGAAATACTTCTCCCAGATGTCTCCTTAGAAAAGGGTCAGGCCATGGGTCTGGCCAAATGTGTGTATACTCAGAGGAGTTTAAAAGGGAATAGCCACCCCCATCAGACATGGTGGGAAGTCATTATCATGGAGGAAGGAGGTCTCTTCACCCTAGGGCAGTGGTTCTCAACTTGTGGGTCGTGACCCACAGGAACTGTATTAAAGGGCCGCGGCATTAGGAAGGTTGAGAACCACTTTCCTGGGGTAACATGAAATGTCTGGTCTGTCCTATTGCCTCTGAAACTCTTGAAATTTGGTCAAGAACTTTCAACATAAAACTTCAGATCCCCCTTCCCATGGCATACGAGAAAGAGCCTCAGGTGATGGCCTATTTCCAGTCTCTGCTGATCTAAAGGCCTTATAAGCCATGGGAGAAGGTTGACTTCTCCCACCCAGTGTGGCACCTGCAATGCTGGGGGGCAACAGCTGGGAGATGGGCAGAGGAAATGCTCCAGGCCTGGTACTAAGCCACAGTTGTTCCTGCCTTGGGACCTTACACATCCCAGGACACCAGCACAAGCCATCAGCTGTGCTCTGTGTAGTCCTCTGGGTGCAGTTCTGCCCTGCTTGCCCCTGTCCTGCCTGACCCACTGTCCCTCCATCCTGGGACTAGTCTCCCATCACCCTGCTATGCACACTGCTCCTCATTTCCTGCTCCACCCTACCCCCCTGTGCACTGCCTGGAGGACTTCACCAGGCCCTCTGGATGTATTTCTCTGCTTGCTGCACAGCCTAACCTCATGTCCCACCTCTGTGCCCTCCCCCTGTGCACTGCCTACCTCCCAGAAACTCACTGGCTGTAGCTGTACCACCCCCACTGCAGAGCTCCATGAACTTCCCTGTGCCTCTGCCTGGCCTTTCCTGTCCCAGGGTTCCCCCTCTGTCCCTGCATCACCTGTGTCTACACCAAGCTCCCTCCTACCTCCTCCAAGTCCCCACTATGCTGGCATTCCCCCCGCACACGTGTCACCCACTCTGGTCCAAGCCTTCTCCTGTGTCGAGTTCTCCTCACTGAGGGGAGTTGGAGGAGAAGACTGCCTCTGGCCCAGAGTGGCATCATCAGAGAGTGACAAAGTAGGCCTGTGGCTCCTGAGTTTGGGAGACCCTGACCAGACACTGTCCTTGTCACCGCCATCTCCTGAGCTGCAAGCCCTGATGCTCCTCGGCTGCCTATCATCACTTCTCCCTTCCTTTTGTCTTTCATCCTTTTGCCTGCCCAACCACAGCTGCTGCCCTGCCATGGCCTCAGCCTGAAAGTCGGGACCCCCTCCAGGTATCAGCTGCCTTTCTGTGTCTGGAGACCTAATCCGTTTGCCTCTCAGGACCACCTCTGGCCTTTCTTCTCAACTATTTCATCTTTTGGTGGCCTTACCTCCCTCTGCCAAGAAAAACAGGGATGAAAAAGTCCATCTGTACTTTGGTCTGCTGGTCCTCGGCTCCCTGGGTTAGTGAGACGATTTGTCTTCTCCTGGGACTGAAGGAGAGGTAGCCCAGTGGCTGGAGGGAAGAGGGCTGAGGACTGTGACTGAATGTGAGGCGTGGTATCTGGCTCAGAGCCCCAACCCCTCTCTCCAAACGTCTGGTAGATAGGTCTAAAGGCCAGGAAGAGGCTGAAGGATGTTTTTGGCAATAGCTCCTAACTAAGGTGAGTGGAGGCATGGCCATTACTGATAAAAATCACAAGTGGGCCCCGAGTGGGCAGAGGAAGTGCCTTGATCAGGCCCTAACCTCCCAGGGGAAGGGTTCAGGGTCCCTGATGTCAAGTGCTTTGAAGGCCGAGAGTGGCAGAAAGGAAAGGTGTTGGGGAAGGGGAAGGGAGGGAAGGTGGAGAGCGGAGCTCTGGAGACACTGCCTCCTGGCCCCTCCCTAGGCTTGGTGTCCCCTCCTCGGGTCACAGCTTGGCGCCCTTGGAAGGCTCCGAGGATTGCCGAACGTCTGTCCACTCCTGCATGGTGTTCTGTAGGGCCTGGGTCTTCTCCTTGTCCACCTGAACATAATCCACCTTCTCATCAGAAGTGACGGATGAAGTGGATGGCTGAGGAGACAGAGTGGGAAGGAAGTGGCTGTGAGTTACCAGTTTGGGGGGGGGAAGGCAGAGGAGATGGAACTTCCCCCAGAGATCTTAAGTGGAGAAGAAGGGGGACTGCCTGCCACTCAACCAGCCTCAGAAGCCTGTCTTTTTCTTCTGAATTTGAGTTTTAACGCCTGAACTCCAAACTAATCATTTCTCTTGCTGGATGCCACAGCTCCTGGGAGGACACAGGCTCATCCTTGGTTATGGTGGATGAACCCAGGCCTTCATTTCTGCCTCCACCCATATCCCTCTGGCCACTTATCCAGGGGAAGGAATTTGCTAGGTGCCAACAACCATCAGCCACAGGACTCTATGTGTGTCACCCTGGTGAGCCCTTACAACCACTCTGTGAGGGAGAACTGTACTGAGGCAGGGCTCCCCAGCCTGCTGTCCAGAGGTTAGCTAAGTGTGCTTCCTGAAAGGCTTTCCTGGGCCCACAAGTCCCTTCTGAAGGCCACTGTATCAATGGCAGGGCTCTGGGACCCACACAGATGGCACATTCACCTCAAATAAGACCCTGGGACCAGGAGGCAGAATCCCCAAGTCTTGGATATGTCACTGCCTCAAGGGGATGGGCTGACTGATGAGGGTCTATGGACTAAGGGCACCTGGGTGTGAGAGAGGAACAGGTGTCTCTAAGACCCAGGCTACTACACAGTTGAGTCAGAGGCTGGCACTAGAGTGAGAGGGAGGCTGGGAGCTGCTGTTTGGTGCTGAAGGAACCCTGGCTCCATGACCTCTCCCTGGGGGCCCTTAGAGCTCTAACTGGCCCCCCACTCCCAGGCACCTTGCGGTGGGGGCTTGGGGAGCTTGGCTGGAAGTCCAGGGCCAGATAATCGACACTGCCCGTGCTCTTCTTAGGGGCTGGACTGTTGGTGCCGCTGGGAACAGGAGATGCAGACACTGGGTTTTGCTATCACAAGAAGAAAAAAAAACTGTTAGTGAGTTTAGGAAATAGACTAACCCACCACCTAGAAAAACACCTCTGGGTATAAGAGCTGCTGGTTTACTAAGCTCTACTCTGAGCCATGTTCTCATTTTAATCTTCACAACTATCCTGTAATTTAGGTATCATCACTGCTCCATTGTTTAAAACAAAGTTAAAACTAGCTCACTTTACTTTCAGAGAAGTGAAGTAACTTGCCCATGGCTGTTCAGCTGGTAGGAGATGGGAATCAGGTCTGTTTTCTAACTCCCAGACCTATGCTAATCCCATATACTATGCTGTCTCCTTTAAAGGGCATCGGGCCAAATCTCAGCCACAGCCTCTCCCCTAAGAGACTCGGTCTTTGCTTGCTGGCTCTTAAAGGAGCACACGACGTTATTAGTTATCAGAGAAATGCAAGTCAAAACTACAATGAGATATCATTTCATTCAGTTAAAATGGCTTTCATCAAAAAGACAGGCAGAGGATGGTGCCTGTGGCTCAGTGAGTAGGGTGCTGGCCCCATATACTGAGGGTGGCAGGTTCAAACCTGGCCTTGGCCAAACTACAATAACAACAACAACAAAAAAAAATAGCTGGGTTGTGGTAGGCGCCTGTAGTCCCAGCTACTCGGGAGGCTGAGGCAAGAGAATCACCTAAGCCCAGGAGCTGGTTGCTATGGTGAGCTGTGACACCATAGCACTCTACTGAGGGCAACAAAGTGAGACTCTTGTCTCACAAAAAAATAAAGACAGGTAGGGGGTGGCATCTGTGGCTCGGTGAGTAGGGCGCTGGCCCCATATACCAAGGGTGACAGGTTCAAAGCCGGCCCTGGCCAAACTGCAACAAAAAAATAGCTGGGCGTTGTGAAACTCTGTCTCAAAAAAAAAAAAAAAAAAGATAGGCAGGAACGAGTGCTGGCAAGAATGAGGAGAATACTATGGAGCTTCCTCAAAAACTAAAAACAGAACTGCCATATGACCCAGGAATCCTCCTGCTGGGTATATATCAAAGTAGAGGAAACCTGTATATTGAAAAGGTATCTGCACTCCCATGTTCACTGAAGCACTATGCATAGTAGCCAAGATTTGGAATTGACCAAAGTGTCCAGCAGTGGATGAGTGGATAAAGAAATACTGGTACAAACACACCAGGGAATATTGCACAGCCATAAAAAGGACAAAATCCTGTCATTTGCAACAACATGGGTAGACTTGGAGAACATTATGTTAAGTGAAATAAGCCAAGCACAGAAAGACAAATCTCACATGTTCTTACTCATGTGTGGAAGCTAAATATTAAAAATAATTCATCTGTGGAGACAGAGAGTAGAATCATGGCTACCAGAGGCTGAGAAGGTAGCGGGGAGGGTGGTATAGAGTGGGGATGGTTAATGTGTACAAAAATATAGATAGAATGAACAATATTTGATAGCAACACAAAGTGCTATAATCAATAATACTGATTATAATCAATATAGTGACTATAATCAATAATATTTTAAAGTAACTGAAAGGCTAAAGCTGGAATGTTCCTAAAACAAAGAAATGATAAATGCCTGAGGCTACAGATACTCCAACTACCCTATAATTAATTCTTTTTCTTTTTTCTTTTTTTTGAGATAGAGCCTCAAGCTATCCCCCCTGGGTAGAGTGCCATGGCATCATGCTCACAGCAACCTCCAACTCCTGGGCTCAAGCGAGTCTCCTGCCTCAGCCTCCCAAGTAGCTGGGACCACAGGCGCCCGCCACAACGCCTGGCCATTTTTTGGTTGTAGCCATCATTGTTGTTTGGCAGGCCCGGGCTGGGGATTCGAACCCGCCACCTTAGGTGTATGTGGCTGGCGCCTTAGCCGCTTGAGCCACAGGCGCAGAGCCCCTATAATTAATTCTTATTGTATACCTGTTTCTAAATATCTTATGTATCCTATATTATATACTCATAATAATTAAAAATAAAAAAGAAACAAGAAAGCATGTTCCCTTTTTGCTTTCTGTTGCATCAAACTGGCTCCTCTGAAACTCTCACCTGTCGCCTAAACTGGGGATTCACACCAGGGCAACTGCTTCCTCTGTCTGCTCTGAGATCCAGCAGTCGCCCAGCTCCAGGCTGCACAAAGCCCTGTTCATTCAGATGACATGCTCTAATGTCCTGCCTCCGCCCAGGCTCCTGCTCCAGAGGAGCACCACCCTGTCCAGGACCTTCCTGAAGTCTTATTCTTTTTTTTTTTAAGAGACACAGCCTCACTTTATCGCCCTCGGTAGAGTGCTGTGGCGTCACACAGCAACCTTCAACTCCTGGGCTTAGGCAAGTCTCTGCCTCAGCCTCCTGAGTATCTGGGACTACAGGTGCCCACCACAACGCCTGGCTATTTTTTGTTGCAGTTTGGCCAGGGCTGGGTTCGAACCCATCACCCTCAGTACATGGAACCGGCACCCTGCCCACTGAGCCATAGGTGCTGCCTCTCAAGTCTTATTCTAATGAGAAAGGTGACAGTCTTGTGTTGTCTGTTGGCTGCTTTATTTATTTGATGCATTCTTTCAGTGTGGTGACAACCAGGTGCTGGGCAGCTAAGCCCTTTTCAATGCAAATCTCAAGGAAGAAACTTACCAGACTCTGCCTGTGTATATACCTCTATTAAATATGGTCTTATTTTAATAAAGGTGAGTTATGTACACATCTGTCATCACTGAGTAGATAACTCCAGCACTGCCTCTGCAAGGTTATGAGAGGCAGGCCGCCTCAAGCTCTTTAAGACAGACTTCCTCAGGGTGTCCTTGCATCTAAGGACACCTTATATTCACTCAAGAATTTGTAGCAGGAGACTAAATCACAAATAATGCAAGAAGTCCCTGGGCTGACGTGAACTAGCTAAGCCAGGAAGTGGGGAACTAGGTGGTAGGTACCAGTTGACTCTGCCAGGACCCACTCCAGCAACCCCCAAGGACTCACCATAGGGACATAGTTCTCCTCGCTGTCTCCCGAGTCCGTGCTGGTGATGCTCTGCGTAGAGATAGGGCGGCAGTACTGGGAAGAGCTGGGGTTGAAGCTGTGGCTATTGGGGGAGGGAGAGCAACAGTAAACCCTAGGGAAGCCTCACAGCTGCTGCTGTTTAGCCTCTAGCTGGGCCCTGACCCCTCACATGCCCAGACCTCAGCCACCAGAGCTGCACACACCATCAGGTTAAGATCGGATACAGACCAGGCATAATTATTCCCCCTTACACCTGAGGAAACCATACCCCAAGAGATCAAGAGTCAAGATCAGCTAATGATAGCATTAGCGTCAGAATCCAGCTGTCCTGGCCCCCAGGCCAGTGAACATTCTACTCATCTCCCCAACCACCCCCTCACAAGCTTCCCCTTCCACAGATACTCACTTGGCCCTAGACCAAGACTTGGTGATGGGTGATTTGAAAGGGAGCTCATCGATGACGGTGTTGTTTCTCAGGTCAAGGGGTGTTGGCTTTGCTGGAGCAGGAACAGAAAGTCCAATTGTCAGCCAATAATACTAATGCTCCACATACATACACTTATGTCTGCCTGCAGTCATTCCTGTTTCACACAGGGAAATACAGGCTCAGCAAGGTTTTGTGAGCCCTGCCCATGTTAATAAGTCTTCAAGTCATATCTTCAGATCCCAATTTATATGTTCTTTCTTCTCTATCCATGATAATCATATTTTCTTTCTTTCTTTTTTTTTTGAGGCAGAGTCTCACTTTGTCTCCCCCAGTAGAGTGTGGTGGTGTTATAGTTCACAGCAACCTCTAACTGTTGGGCTCAAGTGGTTCTCATGCCTCAGCCTCCCAAGTAGCTGGGACTACAGGTGCCTGCCACAACGCCCAGCTATTTTTAGAAGAGGGGTCTTGCTCTAGCTCAGGCTAGTCTCCAACTTGTGAAGTCAGGTGATCTATCCACCTCAGCTTCCCAAAGTGCTGGGATTACAGGTGTGAGCCCCCATGATAATCATATTTTCAAAATCCAAAATGGGGACTAGTGGTCTGATGACAGATTTTTCTCCCTAGATTTATGAACATACATGAAAACAAGAGACTGTATTTAAAGTGCGGATGGCCACCATGGCCACTCCTGGACAGGGCTGTGCAAGCCAGAGTGGAGGAAGGTAAGCGCCATAAGACCCTGAGGCCTTCCATTCTGCACACTGACATTTTATTATACTTATTGTATTTATTTATTTATTTTTGAGACAGAGTCTCACTATGTCACCCTCAGTAGAATGCCGTGGCATCACAGCTCACAGCAACCTCCAACTCTTGGGCTTAAGTGATTCTCTTGCCTCAGCCTTCCAAGTAGCTGGGATTATAGGCACCCACCACAATGCCTGGCAATTTTTTAGTTGCAGTTGTCATTGTTGTTTAACAGGCCCCGCAGGGTTCAAACCTGCCAGCCCTGGTGTATATGGCTGGTGGCCTAACACTGAGCTTGGGCACCAAGCCTGCACACTGAGATTTTTTTTTTTTTTTTTTTTTTTGACACAGAGTCTCACTATGTTGCCCTCGGTAGAGTCCTGTGGCATCACAGCTCACAGCAACCTCCAACTCTTGGGCTTGCCTCAGCCTGCAAGGAGCTGGGAATACAGGCACCTACCACAACACTGGGCTATTTTTTGGTTATAGTTGTCACTGTTGTTTGGCAGGCCTGGGCCAGCTTGAACCTGCCAATTCTGCTATAATTTGGCTGGTGCACTAGCCGCTAAACCTCAGGCACCAAGCACACTGAGATTTTAATTCCCCATTGGCCAGACCCACAGGGGGCTATTTCTGCCTGGTTATCATACTCTTTCCTTTGAATCCCGCTGCTGATCCAAAGCCACCAGAGCAAGGTACTGGCAGACCTGGACCGTGAACTGCAGCACTTCCTGGTCCACAAGCAGTGGACACAGATCTAACTTTACTGAACACTTGCTGTGTACCAAAGTACTGTCCTAGATGCTCTCCTTCAAAACAAACCTGGGAGGCAGGAATTACTATCCCTACAATAAGGAAAACTGAAGCTTAGAGAATTTACATGGTTTGTCTAACGTCACACACCCAAAGTCCAGCATCTACTTGCCTCCTAAGCAAATGCACACAGTCCCTGGATGGATACTGTGCACACACGGACAGGGGAGAATGAACTTACCTTTCCGATCAGGTTTGAGGTTGCGATTGACAGGGGGTGGCTGGATCTCACTTCCTCGGCTGGGGCCTCGGTGCATAGGAAGGGTTGTGGATGGGTAGCCAAGTGGGTCAAAGTGATGGGGCCCTGGGCTCATGGGGATGTAGACACTCTGGGAATTATCACCTGCTCTCTCCATGGCCAGGAGGGTGGAGGAACCTGGGTTCATGGGCACGTAGTTGTCTTCAGAACTGGTGCTATCTGATCGGCCCACAACTGTTTTCCCTGGCTAGGGGGAAAAGAGTGAAGGAAATGCAGCTGTCATTAGCAAGAAGAAACAAGTGGGTGGGAAGTTGTATACAAGGCAAGAAAAGTCTTGCCTGAGTTAGCTACACTTTGAGGCTCTAAGGGAGCCTTTGGGAAGGCCAAATAAGAAAACAGAAGAGACAGGAAGAAAGGTGGTCTGTGGGGCCCTTTCTGCTTTCGTGATCTTCTGGGGGTCTACCTATAAATTGGGATTCCTAGAATATAGAAAATCCTTGATAGCTAGGTCCACTGGGTTTCTGGATGCTTGGCTTAGTACATGCCATGGACTGTGTAGGTGGTTCAGCACCTGCCTTCTCCCTTAAGCCCAGACTTAACCATTGGCAGGCCAGCATCTCAGGGCCTCATCAGAGCCAGGAGCATACTGGAGTCCTGACCCTGGAAGGTGAGGTCTGGGGCCAGTTGTACTCCAGCCTGGCTTTCGGTGTGCCTGAGGCTCACACTGGCCCCAGGCTGCAGACAGAGCTACCACAGTTGTATAATGTAGCAATGCAGCTATAGCCTTCCTCTGACACCTGCCCTATCTGCCCAGACATACAACTAAGGTGCTTTTGCCTTGGTTACCTAATTTTCACTGCCTCTTCAATAGGCCTAAAGCTGGCCTGACACTCTGGAGACCTGTGGTTAGCCCCTTTTAGAGTGTAGCCTGAAATCTCATACTTAAGCCATAATTGTGCCACCTAGCCTGACTCTGAGCACCATCCCAGCCTAGAGTCTCACGCTATAGCATTTCTCCTCCAGGTGAGACCTTGTGGGTAGGGCTGCCATCTTAGAAGGTCTGCCAATAGCCCTCTGGATCTATTGCATTCTACAACCCCTCTGCTTACTCCCAGGGTTGCTGAAGCTTGTAATCCAGTTTACCTCAGTATGTAAATTTCTTCTAAACTAGTATACTTGTATCTTGTTCAAAAACTCATCACAGGGATTTGAACTAAGACAAGAACCTAGACAGGGTTGTAAGAGGGAGATGCCATCACTCTTTTGGGGATATGGCTTTAGTTCCAGTGTGTGACCTTTTACCCACCTGAACTGGCCCAAGGCCCCCTACTTAGACTGTACTCACCAGGAAAGAACTGACTCCATCACTCATGGACCCAGCGGACCTGGATGCACCCTCTCCACCACGCTGGGGGCACTCGTAGGTCTCACAGGAAGAAGCTATGACAGGAAGGAAAAGCCGCACAAACTCACCGTTGGTCCATGTGCTGACACTGCCTATATCTCACCAGGGTCTTAGTGATACTCTGGAAGATACTATTCTCAACCCCAAGTGATAAGGTATAACTTACATCATTCCTCAGGTGGAAAATTCCTCCTGGGCTTCTAGATTTAACTCCAGTGTCAGCATCTGAAGAAAATCCCTCCTTGATTACTACTGATGCCCTCATTTATGCAGCTCTCCTTTGACCCCTATAGCTCTTACCACCTGTCCTTCTGACCCAGCCATTACCTCTGTGAATACTACCTTAACACACTTGTCCTAACTTACACATGTTGTTTTTATTTTTCCAACTAGATGTGAGCTCTGAAGGGCAGGAACATGTTTTATGTTACATCTCTATCATCTCTGTTCCAAAGCACAGGGAGATTGCTTGGACTATTGAAGGACTGAAAACTGCCAAGAGTTCTAAACCGGGAGCCAGGAGCCCAGGGTCTGAGTCTCATCTCTGCCAAGTCCTGAATAAGTCTCTCCTCTAATGGGGCCTCACAAGAAATGGAGACAGTGAGGCTTTGTCCCATCATTCTCTGCCTGGCTTTAACAACAGGATGGATAAGAAAAGGCTTTGCGAGTTTTAATGCAAGATGCAAAATGAAAGGAATTAATATTCTTCTGTTTCTTTTATCAAAAAGAGGAGATTATATGCAGAGTTGGAATATTTCCAGGGGAAAATAAGTGATAATAGAAATTTAGACTTTAACCAAAGAGACTCAAGTATGGCTTAGACAAAATATTCTGAAGATCTCATTTTGTTTTAATAGTTTGTCAGGACACATAGGTTTGGCTCTAGTTTAGGCTACTCTTCTAGATTTATTTTTTAAATATCTGGTTTGATTTATACATGAAAGAAATTCTATAATTTGGACTTCCAAACCCATAACATGTTGATTGTGGTTAACCAAAAATGTTCCATATCCCTTAGTAGAATATCAACTTCCCTGAGACAAGCTCTGCTATACTCTTGCCATTCTGGTGTCAGCTAATAGCTTCTGGTGTTGGAGGACCAACGGGTAAGGGATCTGGGTGGAAGATGCTTAAACTCATGGGTATCAGTGACCTGGGTGCTTCTTACATGTCTCCTGGCCATGACCAAGGACTAGCAAACTACTGAGACCCCCTGTGCTGCTGGGTCTCAGCCAGGCCTTATACTGACCTCGGTGAAGTCGGCTGTTGTCCATGGCAGGAAGAGTATTGCGCCTTGGGATGGTGGCAGCGATGGAAACAGATCTGTTATTCTCACTGACTGGAGGTTTCTGCTGAGGGCTGCCCCATCGAGGTGTTTCTGCTTGACTTGGCTTGGGGGGGCGGGGTGGAGGAGCTATGGCTGAATCCCCAGGAGAGGCCACTGCCATGGTATTGTGGTTTTTATCCAGAGTGAATGTCCTTGGGATCTGGTAGGCTGACAGTGGGGTGGCTGGAACGTCCATATTGTCTACCAGGAGGTCTCCAAACTCCCGGCACAGTGTGTTGCTGGGCGTCTTGAAGGTGTATACATCCTCGTTATCTGTCTCGGAGCCTGTGAGGCTGCTCTTTGTGTGGCCATGGGAGGCCAGGCTCCGGGGGAGGTCATAGGCACTGTCTCTGAATTCTGCATTGTGCCGGCTTGGCTTGGGAAGGCTATAGAAGCCATGGACTTGACCACTGACCCCGTTGACACAGTGTCCATTGCCCTGGGCAAGTTTTTGTACAGCTGTGTCGCTCCTCATGAGAAATGAGGCCCTGGTGCCCTGAGAGAAGCTGGCACTCCTAAAAGAGAGAAAGAAGGGAAGGGGAGGGGTATGAGAAAAGCCAAGGACTTTCCCAGGGAGGTAGCCTGGGATATTCAAAGGTCCAAGCAAGTAGCTGGTGTGGAAGAAACACAGAATGGGCAATCAGGCAAATCTGAAGCTTATCTAGGATTTGCCATGTACTACCTGCATGACCTTGGATTTGCCATGTACTACCTGCATGACCTTGAGCAAGGCACTTTCTCTTTCTGAAATCCATTATACGAATCTGCAAAATGGCGATTAAAAATATACTTCAAGGATTTTTTTTTTTTTTTTTTGCCTGTCACCCTGTTGACCAGGAGATGTTTAATTTTTTTTTTTTTTTTGAAACAGAGTTTCACTTTGTCACCTTTGGTAGAGTGTTGTGGCATCATAGCTCACAGCAACCTCAAACTCTTGGACTCAAGCGGTTCTCTTGCCTCAGTCTCCTGAGTAGCTGGGACTACTGGCTCCTGCCACAACACCTAGCTGATTATTCTAGTTTTAATATAGATAGGGTGTCACTCTTGCTCGGGCTGGTCTCAGACTCCTGAGCTCAAACAATACACTCACCTCAGCCTCCCAAAGTGCTGGGATTACAAGCGTGAGCCACCCCACTGATTTTAATTTTTGTTTTTTGAGATTAGGTCTTGTTCTATCACCCAAGCTGAAGGGTAGTGGCATAATTACAGCTCACTGCAGCTATAGCTGGAACTTCTTCTGTTCAGCCTCCTGAGTAGCTGGAACTACAAGTGTATGCCACCATGCCCAGCTTGTTTAGAAATCAGACTCTAGAATATTTAGTACATGGGTGTTTACTCAATGGTAGCCTTGACCCTCACCTCCACCTCCAAATGGCTATGATTAGCAGGGGCTATTCTTACCTTCCCACCCCCCTCCAAAACAGGTATCAATAAGCTTGTTACACTACCTACTTGTGTACTGTTTTAAGTGCCATAGAATATACATGTTTAATATAAAGTCTGTAAGGCAGTGAGAATAAAAGTTGGTGTCAGAAAATAGTAAGCAAGTCACTTATCTCTCAGTCTGTTTTGCCAGTATAAAATAAACTAGCTCATGGGTGTTGATGTTGTAAGTCATAAATAAATATTCAAATGTAAGCGATACATTTACATTTTACCATGAATAATAGCTGAGAGGCCTTTAGAGAGGGAAATCTCTTCCCAGAAATCTATAGGAAAAATGGTTTCCTATTTGGAAACTGTATCAGGATAAGAAACGTTTTGCCTACCTTTTTTTTAAACCTAGGTTTGGGGAAGTAAGGCACGCAGCAAAGAGAGGAGCAACAACCGAGGGAAGCTTTGTGTGGGCTCCAGTCCTGCAGGTTGTGTTCTGTGAGCTTCCCAGGCCCCTCTCACAGGTGTGACCTAGTGGCTTCCAGTGATTTCTCAGGGTCTGCTGGCTCTGAAGTTCTATAAGCCACTGGCTTTCCAAGGGTGGTTTTCAAACTGGATTCTATGATCTGTGTGGTGCTTTGGAAAATTGGAGGGTTTGGCCCTGCACAAGTGGGGATCCAGGTTCTACTTTTCTAACTTTTATATTAGGATTCTTCACAGGATTTTATTGGGAGACAAAGGAATAAATTCTTTCTTTCTTTCTTTTTTTTTTTTTTTGTGACAGAGCTTCAAGCTGTTGCCCTGGGTAGAGTGCCATGGTGACACAGCTCACAGCAACCTCCAACTCCTGGGCTTAAGTGATTCTCTTGCCTTAGCCTCCCAAGTAGCTGGGACTACAGGAGCCTGCCACAATGCCTGGTTATTTTTTGGTTGTAGTTGTCATTGTTGTTTGGCAGGCCTGGGCTGGATTTGAACCCGCCAGCTCTGGTGTATATGGCTGGCGCCTTAGTCACTTGAGCTACAGGCACCAAGCCAGAATCAATTCTTTGCAGCAGTGATTCTCAGCCTTTTGGAGGCCACAAGCATATCTAAAAATGGACACAAACCTCTTGAAGCATCTCCCAGAAAAGACAAATCTCATGTACATATAAACTGGTATGCTATTTCAGGGGTGTGGGGGTGGGGCGGTCATATGTAACCCCCTGGAGGCCAATCCCTGCATTTTTTTTAGCCTTATAAAGGCTCTCCAAGCTCACAGGAGCTTGTTATTTACAGATATGGCCACCAGGTGGTGCTAGAAAACAGGACCTGGAAGCTTAGAAAGGAGGAAAGGAAACAGGTGTGTGGGCCAGGCTCTTCTGTAAAATGCATACTTGCTGGGTTGGGAGTTCCAATCGCAGCCCCAAACCTTCACGGGTGTTCCTCCCAGGGCCTCTGCGTTCCTTCTTCCTTTCTATTCCATTCCACACACATAACCATGCCAACAGCCATGGACCTAGATGACTGAATAGCCTGTCTTTAGATATAGTAGTGATTAGGGAGGACAGGGAAGTCAATGGCAGACACTAAGGCATTCATGTTGTTCACATTTGTCTTTGGTGTCTCTTATGTTGCTTTGGAATTTCCAACTTTCTGTCAGATTTGTTAATTTAACAAACATTTGCTGACTTCCTCCTTTCAATCAGGGTCAGGCACAATGGATGAAGAGATGCCACCTGCTCTGTAAGGGTGTGGAGGAGGGGAAGAGGGGTGGGGGAATTTTAACATTTATGAAAATTAGTCCCACCAAGTAGGGTCAGCACATGGCTGCTGACAGATCTGTCCTAACCCTCCCGGATGGTGGCAGTGGAGCATGTCAGGGAAGGCCCCTTCAGAGATGTCACTTTTGAGTGAGTCTAGAAGGATTAGCAGCAACTGGCCAGGCAAAAGCCAAGAGAAGAAAAAAGAAGTTCTAGTTGGAGGCACAAAGATGTAGCAGAACAACCTGGCAAGTTCAAGGAGTTACAGGCTGCAGCAAGGATGTTAGAAGGCCAGGCTGAGACAACAAGCGAGGGGCAGGGAAGGGGAGCCTCTATGGGATTTTCAGGGGGACATGGGGTTACTGTAAGCAGTAACCTTATTCAAGATGGCCTCACCATCCTCCTCTTGTCTACTTCTCCTGACTGTCCTATTTTGGGAATAGCATCGGTTACTCAAGCCAGAAACCTGGGAGTTACATTATAATTTCACACTCACCTCATTAGGTCTTACTGAATCCACCCCAGTTCAGTTCCTTCCAATTTTTCTTCTGGATTAATGAAAGGGCTGGTAAGTAATCTCCCCAGCAAGCTGGGCATAGTCCCAGCTACTTGGGAGGCTGAGGTAAGAGAATCGCTTGAGCCAAAGAGTTTGAGGTTGCTGTGAGCTATGATGCCACAGCACTCTACTGAAAGCGACAAAGTGAGACTCTGTCTCAAAAAAAAAAAAAAAATCTCCCTAGCATCTGCCCAGGGCCTCTCTGATCCTCTACATCCTACTGATATTTACTTTCCTAACTTCCCAGCTTAAACATTATCAATACTACATCAATGCCATTTGGACTAAGCCTAAACCCCAGGGTATTTTTCCAACTTATCTCTCCAGTCTTTTCTCCCAAGTTCCCCTTTCCACTCCAGGACTCCCTCAAACCAGACTATGCAGTGTCCAGCATGCCCTACTTCATCACGCCCCTAGTGGGTCTAGAAGGATGGGTGCTGTGTCGGGAAGGTCTCTTACTTCAATATGGAGAGCTCCTTGTCCATTCGTCCTTCTACCTCAGCTCTAATGGCACATCTTTTAAAGCATTTCTTGTGTCCTCTCTCTCCCAGCACTATCAATCGCTTACTGAACTTTGCTCTTGGAGCAGGTGGCAGCTGTTATCTGTATTATGTGCCACTGTTTCTTGTCTCCTCCATACAGTGTGATTTCCTTGAGGAAAGAAACTGTGGCTTACTCATTTTTCTCTCCTCAGCACCCAGATTAGTGCTTGGCACATAGTAAATAATAAATGTATGTGGAAGGAACAAGCAAATGAATGTATAAGTGTGATATTATAAAATACGTATTTAATCTTTGACCCCATTTCCTGACATACAAGTCCTGAAATCATTAGAATCTCCAAAGTGGGCTCGGCGCCTATAGCTCAACCGGCTAAGGCGCCAGCCATGTACACCTAAGGTGGCGGGTTCGAATCCCCAG